TAACCCCTCCCCCCCCCACAACAAACTGAGCTGGCCGCAATGCGATCCAGTGCGTTCGGGCCAGAACGCACTGAGGATGGTGTGAATGAGGCCTTACAAAACACACAGGGGCCATGGGGAACAAAAGTAGCCCCCCTCCAGAAGGAAGGACAGCGTCAGCACCAATTCAGAGATGATTGGAGGATCTACAGCCGACTGATACACAAATTTGTGTTGATAGTTAAGGTTCTTGAATGTATTTTTAAGGTTTAACTCCTGAGTGTAATGTCACTTGAATGTTTTTCCCCCAAGGATATTTGCTTTTTTACATGTTTAACCAGTTGACATCCGCGGTGTTAAACCCCCTTCCCATCCAGGCCATTTTTCAGTATTCAGCGCTGCGGTACTTTGACATTTATTCCGTCATGCAGCGCTGTACTGAAATGAATTTTATACCCTTTTTTGGGGACAGATAGAGCTTTCTTTTGGTGGTATTTATTCACCACTGGGGGTTTTATTTTTTTACTATATTAAGGAAAAATTACCGAAATTTAAAAAAAAAAACAGTTTCCCCTATATTAAATGATAAAACATTTATTATTACCCAATTTTTTGGTAAAATATAAAAGATGGGGTCACGTCGGGTAAAAAGACACTAAACATGTCAAGCCTTAAAATTGCGTGCGCGCGCGAAACCTCAAAAAACGATAATACCCAAAATTGGCCATAGGCGACGCTTTAAAAGCTGTTACCGCTCATCAGTTTAGTGTTATCAGTGATTGATGGCCCTAAAATGATTGCTCTCACTGCGACGTTCGCGGCGATATGTAACATGTGTAGCGCAATTGTAATTTTTGCGCGCTGGGGCACCGGACGCGTATTTACGTTTATAGGCGCGTAAACGTGGGGGTGGGGGAGTTAAACATTTTGGGGGGGTTTTTTCCCCTTTTTTTATATGTGACTTTTATTTTATTTTACTTTTTTATGTGTTACTTTTATTTTTTTTTATTTATATTTATTTTTTTGCACTTATTGTTATTGCTATTATATTGGGGGGATAACAATCCCCCTATATAATAGCAAAGGCACACTGACAGGTCCTCTTTATGGAGACATTAGGGGTCTCTAGGACCCCTAATGTCACCTGTGGACCCCAAAAGAAGCTGATGAAGCAGAGATCTGCTTTATCAGCTTCTTCTCTCTGGCTATAGCAGCCAGATGACTGACAGGTGAATGCGGAAGTGATGTAACACACATCACTTCTGCATTCACAGCCCGGACGGAGATCAGCAAGGAGCTGATCGGCGCCGCGAACGAGCACATATAGGCGATCGGCGGGCTATGGACCCGCTGATCGCCTATATGTCAAACACCAGGTAACGGGTGTGTTTAATGGTCGGGTCTTTTCTGCCCGTGTGCGTGCCCGCACGAGCAGAAAATTGCCGTCTGGAGACGGCAACCCGCAAATGCAGCAGTGCCGTCCGTCCGTTTTTTTTACTACGGGTGGACGGCAAGAGGTTAATTTGGGTTTTCTAATGTACATATTGCTGGCAAAGTTCAATGCCAACTGCACTCCTGAGAATGAGAAGTCTCCAAGTAATGCATGAGAGGAAAGGGATGAGTGACCGTAGATGTCTCAGCTTGTAGTGTAATGGCGGACTTCTTCAACTAACATTTACAGCTCTTCTTTATGGCCAGTCAGCTACAGGCAGAGTTTTGTAATAAAATTCACCTTTAAGTAGCCAGAACTAATCTCAGTGGAATGTGCAGCCAAGCTCACCTAGCGAGGCTTTGTCCTATGGAGTGCAGTCTTGGCTCCGGCCCAGTGTTCAGCTCGGTGATTAGTAAGCAAACTGCAAGAAATTATACACCAACACCAGCCAAGTTTCTGTTCTTTGTTCCTATTTTTAGATGTGTATAAAGTTTTGTTGCGCAAGAAAAAATCAGCTGCATTTCCTGCTGACTACTCAGGCACCACTTGTCTCATTAGAGGAGCTTAATCCTTTAATACCGCTCTAGGATAATGCTAATGAAAGGTCATCAATCAGCCATACTAAGCTTATATAGTCCGGGTGTATTATGCAGGGACAAGCCCTGTCTGCTCTGTAGGGATCATCTATGCCATAGCTCACCTGTTGCTTTACTGCTGGGCTTTGATGGGCTTGTTCCCCCATAGCTGGAGCTCCTTAGTCAATAAGTGTCTCTGTCTTCTCAGAGTCCGTTATTATTACAGGTATTTATATGGCGCCGACAATTTACGCAGCACTTTACACAGTTGCACATTCACATCAGTCCCTGCCCTCAAGGAGCTTACAATCTTAGGCCCCATTCACACTGCGCGATTCGCAAATCGCGCATTTGTCGCGCGATTTGCATTTTGCGCGATTTGTCGTGCGATATCGCGCAAATGCTTGCATTGAGCAAGCTTGAATCGCGGCTAAATCAGCTCCAAAAAGGGTCCTGCTGTAGCGACACACGACCCGCGACAGCAGGACCCTTTGCCCCATTGAGAAGCATTGGAGAGCGATATCGCGTGGTAAATTGCTCAATGTGAACGGGGCTTAAAGGTGCCCATACACTGTGCGGGCTCTTCAGGCGTGCAGTGAGAAGGCTTTGCATGCAGATCCATCTCATTGCTGGGGCTGCTTCGTGGCAACCAGAAGGCGAAAGGTTGGGGAGCGCTGGTGTCATGTGATTGCAACTAAGCTGTGAGAATGGCAATGCCCAAAATACATGAATCGAACATAGTGGGGGCAAAACAGGGCTGGGGAAACACTCGGGGCTTCATTCCGTTTGCACAGCACTAGCGCCCCTCGATGGTGCTGATGAGTATAAAAATTTCATGTATTCGTCAGTGGTGTGCGAACAGCATCCTCATGTCTATACGTGTGGGGGGAGTTTTATTAATGAAGCCTTTGGGAATTCTGATTGACAATATGCTTTAGCAGCACCACTCGGTGGCTAGTTGCAGATATAAAATAAAGGTAAAAACGTGATGATCGCATAATATTTCCTATCGCTTGTAAAGCCACGTATAGGATATGGGGTCCGGCTTTGGGCATTATATGGTTAAATGGATGTAGGAGATTTGGAGAGACTTCACAGGCAGGCAAGTACATTAAAGGGTGGGAAATCTTCTCTATAATTAGAGACTAGAGACATCGGGTGTGTTCAGTATGAGACGATTCTAACCTAATTACCATCAATAACATAGTAAAGGAAGTAGTGAGGTCACGACAAACCGGTAGATTTACGGAGATATGAAGAGCGAAATGTCTTATTTGCCAAAATGTCTATAATGCTATTCATCCATTTCTTACTCATTTATTCACGTCAGACGGCAGTGCCAGGACATGACCTCATTGTTCTTTACTGCAGTTAAAGCAATGCAGTTTAGTCACGGACCACCCCAGCCTGTGATTGGGTAGTAAATGAGCAGCAACATACTGGCCAAGTCAGCCTTCTGATCTCCCCTCCTATTAGCCCGCTTCATGTTCTGTGCAATGTACGCCGATCAGCCAAACCATTCTGGCCACTGAGAGGTGAATAACATTGATGGTTACAGTGGCCCCTGGA